GCTGGAGCACTGGAAGCTGGAGCACTGGAGGCTGGAGCACTGGAAGCTGGAGCACTGGAAGCTGGAGCACTGGAAGCTGGAGCACTGGAAGCTGGAGCACTGGATGCTAGGCTACTCGGAATACCTGCGGTAGAGGAGCTTGGCAGACCTGGGACTGACAACACTGAGCCTGTAGATGTTCCCGAGGGGGTAGACGGCATTGAAGTTGGTGACTTGGGAGTTGACATGCCTCCGGGATGCGAGTGCGAGGAAGAAGACACAGCTGAAGTACCTTCAACAGAAGTTGATGGAGTTGAAGATTTCTCAGTGTACATCGGTGCGGACGAGCTCGGGCTGGAAGATGACGACGTTACTTCGAAAGAGGTGGGCACGGCATCGGTATTGGTTGAAGCCGCAGAGGGAGGGCCAACTGGAGTGCTGTGTCCGCTCGATAAAGAAACTGAGAACGAGGTGGGGAGAAGTCCAGTGTTTGTGCCGTATCCGCTTGGCGAAGACACCGGGAACGAGGTGGGGAGAAGCCCAGTGTTTGTGCTGTATCCGATTGACGAAGAAACCGGGAGAGATGTCGGAACGGAATCTGTCGCTGATGAGGGGCCAACGCTCGGCGAACCTGTGGTAGGAGCAATCGGGACCGAATTTGTCGCAGTGGGTTGGGAAGAGGAAGAAAGGGAAGAATACGCGCTGCTGGATGGCGTGCCAATAGAGCTCTCAGAAGAGATTGACGTGGCTGAGACTGATGGAGTCGGAACCGGCCCAGCGAGTGTGGATGAGGAAGAGATAGCGCCACTGCTCGTAGGAGTTGCAACCTCAGAGCTGGAAACCGAGCTCGAAATGGAGCCGGCCGGACCAGTGGAGGAGCTTGGTAAGGTCCCAATTTCAGAGGTAGAGTGGGAGACGGTGGGAGTTATGATGGGGTAACCGGAGCTCGTCGGACTTGCCTCGGTGCTGCTAGACGGTGCCGAAATGACGAAGCTAGCGGTAGAAGTTGGCGCTGCCAGGCTGGAACTTGACGTAGAGCTGAGAAACACAGAAGTTGGCGTGCCAATCTCCGCGGATGAAGCCGGCATGGAGATCGGACCGGTGTGAGTGATGGTGATTTCACTGACTGGGCAGACCGTGGTAGTAACAGCAACGACCGAAGTGACAACTGCAGTTCCATTTCCAGGACAATTGGTCACGTCAGGGCCACACTGGGTGACAGTGTACACAGAGGTCGTGTAAACAGTCGAGGTTGTCATGTCCCTGACGACGTGGATGCCATTCTCAATGCCGACAACTAGACATGGTGTTAGTCGAATGCTCTATATGACAGGCAGGATGAGCGGGAATTGACAGGCGAGAGGTGAGAGAAGTCATGACATGGTGGGGTTGGTCGCCAGAGCTGGCATAAAGCCAACTGTAGTCATTTTCCCCCGTCTCTCTCTCTCTCCACAACTCTCCAATATTCGCTCACTCGCGGTCAGAAGCGGGAAGCTTTCAGTGACGAGCAAGGACAGAGCGAGCAGCCTTAAAGCCAACTCGTCGACACCCTTGACGCCCTTCTCCCTCTGTTGCAATCAGAAGAAGAGATTTGACTCACCACCCGGAAAGGCAAGGGCTGGGACTGCAGAAGCAGGGCCGACAACAAGAGCTGCGAGGTTGAAGCACTTCATGATGGAACAGAGCTAGTCGCAGAACAAGAGTGTAAAAGAGTGTGGGTGAATAGACAGCAATGAGCAAGAAGCCGATTGCGAGCGGGCAAGCGAGTGTAGAGAGCGAACGTTAGGATTGGGGTGGAAGAGAAAGAGTTTTTGATCGAGGGGGGGCAGCGATTTAATCGGGCAGGCATTGCCAAGCCTATAGCGTCACCACGACAGCGAGAGAAGGCGCGCCCTCGCAACTGCATCACAACAAAACAGAGTAAAAGCCATTGATGACGCAATTGGAAAGCCCATCAAGCACGCTCCTGCCGAGAAGGCGTAGTTTCGAGCCACGGAAGGTGTAAATCGTGCATCATGTGACCTCAACTCAGTATCAAGGCGCTGTCTCGGAACCACAACACTGTTCGAAGCCGTGCTGGCATGTTCATGTCCACTTTACAAGAGCGTGCCATTTCGGTTCTTGCTCTAGTTCGAACAATCGATCCAAGGGCAGAACTTGATACCTTTTAAGGTTGCTAAACACCATTGCGGTGCCCGCCATGCGCTCCCCGGGTGGGAGTTCCCTAGGCCCAGGAGGCAGATTCCCAGCATACTGAGGGAATGTAGCTGTCTAGCAATGTTAATTGGAACAATTCTTGAGGGTAAGCACTTCAATTTAGAGTCTCCCCGCCCAGCCGTTTGCCTCCCTCCTGAGATCTCCTCCACTGCTTGTTTTCACCCCGGTTGCACATCCAACCTCCTGCCGTTGCTACGTCTTCCCAGAGCTCTTTCACCGGAGCCTCTGGAAGCTGCTGGAAATGCTGCTGCCTCGCTTATCTCCCAGATAACGAAATTTTTGCAGGCAGATCACCCCCGGGGATCTGGGCAACCGCTAGGCCCGCTCCCTCCATATAAGCACACCGCCCTCACATCTTCTCCGTCTCTGTAACACAACTGCGCAACTGAAATCGCCAGCCTAGCATTTGCTACTGCAGTATATTTCAGTACTCTGTTAACTCGGACAATAGTCTTTACCAACATCCTCATTCGTCGACCATGAAGTTCACTTCTGTCGTGCCGGCCATCGCCGTGTTCGCTTTCGCCGCTCCGAAGGTCTATGGTTCGTTCCTCACCCTTAACTCCTCACATCTTCGTCTGCTAACATGGCCTAGGCTTTCATGATCATACTGTGAAGGAGCTCGTTGGCCCCAACGGCGTCGCCATGGCCCATGTCGGTTTTGCCGACTATATGGCTCGCCTTGAACGCGTTGGACATGGTGGCAAGATCGCCCACGATGGAAGTGTAGAAGATGTCAAACATGATGAAGTCAAACGTAGCGTCACTAGTAACCTCGTTCCACCTTACCATTGCGTGTAACCAAGATCTCTAACTTTGCCCAACAGAGTCTTGTACTGTGGAAACGGTCACTACCACGGTCACTGTCTATCCATCCAGCTGCGACACTGCCACTACTTCCGCTTTCCCTTCGGCCTCTTCCGTCCCAGGAGTTTCCACTCTCGTGTCTACCATCGGCTTCAGCACCATCCCGTCTACCGACCCGTCAATGCTCTCCACCGGCACATCTGCGTCAACATCTTCCGCTTATGTCGTCCCGAGCAGCACTGGCCTGAGTACTTCGGCTGTCACCGCTACTAGTACTCTGAAGGCCAGTTCTTTACCGCCAATTCCGACCAATGGTGTCCCTATTCTTCACCATGATATCGCTCTTGGTGCAGTTGCTATGGTAATTGCTATGATGGCTTGACTAGCTCTTGCTACTTTTCTCTTTTCATAGTTTCAGTGAATGGTATTTGGTCAGATGCAGGCCTAATAGTACCTCAATGTAGCTAATTTCAATGCATGAATGATGTGGCCTCTAGCACTTCACCCAATTCCAGCTTCCTTCTGTGCTCTGTGAACATCTCCAATTCCTGCCTATTACACTGTTGGTGGTTCCTGATAATACCCTGACGCCTTTCATCTTACTAGTGTGTCTGAACATTTAATATTTTCCCTGCCTAATGTTGCTATTATTTCACTGCCACAGCCTTCTCTCCTACAGTTGAAATTGCGGTTCTATTTCTTCTTCCCCCTTCTTTTTTTTTTCTTCTCTTAAACCTTCTTGCGTTGGATTCCTACTAGCGATGCCCTAACATCTTACCTGCTAGTATGCTTGAACATCTAATGTCTTTGTGCCTCTTGCTGTCACCCTTTTAGAGCCATTAGCTCCCCTTCCCCTACTAATATCACAATTAATCTTATTCCTTTGGCGTTGTTGTCGTGGTTGCTAGTTCCTTCTGACGATAGCTTGACACCGCATATATACTTGTGTAACTGAACATTGGATGATCATTCTGCCGCTTGTTGCTATGTTTTTATGGTCACAGGCTTTTCTTTTATCCAAAATTGCACAGGCACTTATTCCTTTTGCATTACTGCTAAGTTTACCGGGTCATCGCTAGCTATGCATCTGTCCTGTTGTCTCTTTTGCCTGTCTTAATATCTTTCATTTGCTGTGCCATGCAACAGCGATCACGAGTGTGCTTTGAACAAGATGTGAGGGGTAGGCAAATAGCCCAAAATGACTAAGTGAATAAATTGATGTTAAGCAGAGATAGCTTCAATGTGGAGGGGAGGGAAGGGTTCGTAAGAGGGGGGCCTCATGGCTAGGTGGAGACTGCGGAGACAGGGTAGAATTGGTCCAGAGTGTAAGAAAATCGCGACTTCCGGTAGTCCATTGTTCCTCCTCTCGACTGCTGGTCTAAGGCATTTCTTGCCCAGGGGTTCGGAATGACTAGAGTTTTGAGAAAGGATATATGATATCTGTAGCACCGAATGGTAGATACATGGTGAAGTATACAAGAGAGAAATATGCCTTTCAGCTTATGGTGAATCGGTAGATCTTCCTAGCCCTTTCCTTCCACTAGAGACTGGAGGAACGAGGAACTAAGATAGATCGGAGTACTCGTTCTGGAGTAGCGACCCGTACCAAATCTAGGATTTTAGGATAACGGGTGAGTGGTGTGGGCTGCCACTGAGCTCATGTGTCTCTGGCAATTGTGTCCAGATTCAATGAAGCCAGGGCAATGCCACCGGTCTTCAAAATCCTTCTCGTTATGGCTCGTCTTGCCTAATTCTCTGATAAAACGTTGGGACCTTATCCGTCCTTTCAGTCTTGGGGTACCCTTCGAAGTAGGGTTTGGTATTGCGACTTAGAGTCCTCTCGAATCCAAATCAACTACTCGAAATAGTATTAGGCGTTGGTGATTCCCAATCGTACCTCGAAAAGCTCAGCTCTTGAATAACTGCGATGCCTTTTGCGGTTCAGGTGCCCGCTGTGCTGATAGCTGGCTGTAACGTGAATGCTCCCATCCCTATTTCCCCTTCGAGACCACTTGATCGTCTCAGCAAGTATTGGAATGCGTAGCAGCAGTGCCTCCATCCTCTTCCTTCGTGCCTTCCAGTGGATCTCTGTAGGGAACTTTCTAGGTATTAGAGACGGATTCGCGCCGTGGTCTAGAAAAGCTTTCCCAACCTTCTTCACGTGCTTCCATCCCTCAACGTCATCTCCCCAGGCCTGAAGAAATATTTCCCAGGGCGAGAAAGTGCCACCAGCATGTGCGACATTGATGTACTTGACGTGGGATAGGCCATTCTTAATTCCAGTATTAGGATTCGCGCCATGCTGTAGCAGTAGAATGACAAGGGCGGGATCGGGCCGCAAACCAGTGGCAGGAATATTCACAGCGTTGAGATTTAGGCCAATTGTGGATTGTACCAGAGCCACGGCTAGTGCATTTGACAGCATTGCTGGGCTTGGCTTGTTGGTAGATGAGGAGACCATAGAACGAACATATTCAGTGCATTTGCATGTGACCATAAGGTCTAGGAGCGATTTGTTTAATTCGAACCCTTCTTTTGCACCAGTCCAATGCGAGGTATTCCTGTGGAACCTATCAAGAAATGTCCGGCCGTTCTGGTCCTGGATACTTGTAACATAAGAGGCTGCGGCATCAATCTCATTCAAGAGTTTCGTTTGCAGTCCATTCACGCAGTCTGGGTCAGCTAGCGAAGCATACCTAATACCATACGTGACAACTTCCCAGAACCACGGGTTACTCGGTTCCTCGAAATAGAGGGTATGCCCGCCATGTTTGAGGTGGACGATGATATGCGCATTACAAAGACGAGCATGTGGATTGAAGGAGCTGGTTGTTGCTGTAAGAAGGCTAGCCCAGATATCTTCACGATGAAGATAATCTTGTACTGTCCGGTGGAGGTAACCGACTATCGACTCGTGGAGAGGTTGGCCTGGGCTGGTTTTGGACTCAATGAGGCCTCTACAATAGGCGTTAAGTCGGCGACGAATAATCACTGCCCGACCGTTGGATTGAGAAGTTGGAAGGGGACCAGCCTTAATTTTTGAAGCAATAGCAGGATCTGCTTCATCCGCATAGTAGAGCGTTAAGAGAGTGACTGGTGTGAGTGATGATCGAATAATCTGGAGTAGCTGGGAAGCTCGTTCGAGGCTTCCCAAACGAGTGAGCAACTTCCAGAATAAATTTTCAAGATCACTGGGTAGAGCATCTAGACGGGCTTGAAGCTCTTCAACGCGTTCCCCATCCGAAAATCCTTCGAGGAGGGAATCAGTAACTAGGGAGACCCATAGAAAAACACCGGAGGCCTTTAGCGTGATGTTCTCGATCAACTTGGTTGCGTAGTTCGAGTCCAGCATTCTCCGTTGTGCGAAACCCCTATTTTGAAGGAATTGTGAATTGACAAAGTGCTTAATGTCTGCATGGGTGAGCTCTTCTAGGCGTAAACTTGGCCGTTGCTGAAAGCTGTCCTCGAAAACGTTCCATGGGCGGCTAGAAACGCAAGTCTTTACGGACGGAGAGAGAAATCCCGTTACCATGTCAATAAGATTCTTAGAATCCCCGTCGAACTCATCCAGCCCATCAATGAAGAAGAAGACCTTGTAGTCTTTTCCAGCGCCTTCTACAAGACGCCTGAGGGCACGCATCATCTCCTCCCAAGTTATTGGCTCCTGCCATGGGTCTCCAAAGGCAACGAACTCTTCCATCTTATGGGGAAAGAGGGTGGCCCAGAGTTTGGGTTCTTGATGAAGTGCCTCATAAATGAGAGTACGGACCATTCCCTCTTGTGACATCTGCATCTGCGTACCCGAAATCCAGAAGTAGAAAGCGCAGATAATAAGGGTTTTCCCTTTGGCCCAACGACGAAGATATGTGGTGGTGATTGGGTTCGTATAGATGAACTTCATTAGAGTCGATTTTCCGGCCGCTGGCTTCCCTGTGATCCAATACAGAGCCTCTCCATCCTCTCCCAACCACTTACGAAAGTCAGACCATTGACCTTGGGATGGTGTTCTGAATATCCATTCATATGTCTGCTGATATGCATGAGGTATTTTCTCATGTCGAGTTTCAAGCTCCTTGAAGCGAAGCCACCCAAGAAGACCGCGGTAGAATCTTTGCGCGTCGTCATCTGCCAGCAGGGTTTGCATCTCGACTGCCGGAGATACTTTAGAATAGGTCTTCCGCTCATAGTCATCGCGCATGGCCTGGACCACGTTTCGTTCCAAGGTCGCTTTCTGTGTATAGGTTGCGTCTCCTGCTACTTTGGTGAACAAGTTTGCTACGCTGGCTCGGGTATTTCTGACTTCGGTAAGGACCTGCGCATGCTGAATAAGCTGTTCCTGCTGGAACGTTCGAATTTCGACTCTATTAATGGATCAGCGCTGTTGGTTATACGCTTTCGACGAGAGATGCTGTACCGTATGGAGGTCAGGAGATATAGTTGGATCTGCTGCCGATAACTATCCAGCGTCTGGCGCAAGGTTTCGACTTCGGATTCTGTCCAAATTGTTTTGAGAGCATCCACGAAACTTGCCCATGCGGTAGCTTTCCCATTTTTCAGCTTGGCTAACGTATGCAAGAACTTGGCAGCGACCTGTTCGCAATCTGTGCAGATTCGCACAATTTCTCTATCTTCGAGTGACAACTGAGACTGATATGAATCTCCGAGGTCATTTGTTGATATCTTGAGTGTTTCATTGTGTTTGGTGAGGTCGCGAGTGATGTTTTCCAGAATATTTGATTCAGCCTTGCTATTGCTTTTGTTACGTGCCCGGTGAATCCGGACCGTGAGCGAGAGGAGTTTACCTGCGAAATCCACGAACTGCAATACATTTGCAGCAACGCCCAGCGCTGAAAGAGGTTCCATGATTATGGATAGAAGACCGAGAGAAGGGAAGGCTCAGGCAAATCAGGCCGGGGGGGGTTTATCTTTCGCAGGCCAAGATTGACTGATCGCACCTGACACAGCTGAAGGAGCGCGGTTATTCATGAGTGTGTGTTGGCCCACTGCAACTCCACGCGAAGTGGCTGTGAACGCCACACAAGGCACACAGCTGAGTAGGAGACATTGAAAAGCTAGGTTTCAAGTTGTGCAAAGACAGAGATGGCGATAATTGAAAATGCAAATAGAAGGGAACTTACTGACAGCAGGAATCCATTGTTTACACCTTCAGAATGCCTCATGGATTGTTCCTTTAGCTTATAACGATGTGGTCCAAGATGCCTCGAGGGTATACACGTCAGACTCCAGATTCCAAGCATAGTGATGCATCTCTCCAGTGGTATATTCCGACGAAACCAAAGCTTATCTAAGAATCACGTGTTACACTCAGCTTGAGTGAGTGCCAAATCGTTCCTGGTCCTCAATGCGCCTCCCCAAAATCACTGTGTCCTGTAGCTGTTGCGTGCTCAACCGCTGCCATCTCGCCCTTGCCTTTCCAACTGCATTTGTTGCACTTGATGTCGAAGCGCTGAGTATCGGTGTAGTAGTGTTTCTTCTTCAGCTCTCCGCAAAGCTGCCTTGCAGCTTCGAGCAAAACATCATCACTGGAGTCGAATATCTTGACGTCGTTGTCCGAGTCGGTATTCGCAGCGTCGTCCGGGACAAAAGCGATCGTGTCGTAGTGAATGCCGGAGTAGACGAGGATGCAGCGCCTGCTCTTACCCTCACTGAACCTGTCCACGCGCAAATCTTGGACGTTGATACTGCAGATCTCTATATCGAACTCCTGGGAGAGGATGGATAGCTCGATGCCGCCTCCCCACGAGTCCGAATACTGTATCCACTTGCAGTACTCGTCCGGCGTTCTCTGCAGCACCGCCTCATTATACATTTCTGTATCCGATTGAATAGCCTGAGCGACCATTGAGCGTAGTTCTGTCATAGAATCGAGAGACGACGATAGGACCGCGCTGCCGAGCGCTCGGAACATGCAGGAGTTGTCGTCGGGCATGACGCGGAGGACGACGGTGCCGCCATGTGAAGGGAGGGGTATCTCAGGGGTATCCTTTAGCTCTGGCTTCTGCTTCCTCTTGAGTGAGAGGGGGGCAGATTGGCTTTGGCTGGACGATTGCTCGGAGTGAGGGGCAAGGGCCTCCTCTCCGGTTTCTTGGGCGATGACAATGAGCTGCGCGCCGTTGAGCTTGAGGTCGGTGTCGCTGAGGAGGGTAGACATGCCGTAGAGGGAAGGATCGAGCGGCTGCGGCGGATAACCCCATTTTAAATCGAAGAGGGGCAGCGAGGTGGATTCTGAGATGGAGGTGAGAAGATCGGAAACGGCTGCATCGTCGGGAAGCGAGACAGTGTGGGTTACTCCACCAGGGGCTCGTAGTCGTAGTCGAATAGGCATCTTATGCGAGCGTAGAACGCAGCAGGAGGGGCGTCCTGGCAACTAGGAAGGATGGATAGAAGGGAAAGTTTAGCGATCGGAACGACGAGGGCAGGCGGTGGAGTGAAAGATTAAGTGGAGGAAGAGGTGGGGCGGGGGGGGGGGATGGGGATGGAGAGGGGGTGATATTGAGACGAAAGAAGCTAGCCACGTGTCTTGAATCGAAGGGATAGTAGGACAGGCAATCCGTGGCAAACAGCGAGTGAGTTTGAGCCTGGGCGAATGTCTTGCTGAGCAAGGACACTCCTTCCATCCTGAAGCCGAGGCCGGAAATCTGCCGTTACGTCAGCAAGCCGCCCTTGCACCGTTAGCGGCGATCTCGGAGGCAGGAGAAACGTCATGCCGATTGGCTCGACAGCTCAGGGCGCCCCCCAGGCGTGCTGTGTCCATTCCACGGTTCAAAAGGACGCGCATTTTCATCTGCCTGTCCTCGCAAAGCCCTCTCTCCCGCCCCCCTTGAAATAACCTGGCTGCGCGCCTCGAGAATCGCGTTCACGATGGCGTCGGGCCGCGTGCCGAGCTCCACGCCCGTTCCCACCACCGAAGCCGCAGACCCTCCAGCGGCTGGTAGCGCATCCTCGACCGTGACCGACGAACAATGGAAGGCCATGCAAAATGTGCTGAACGCTGTGTATGCGCACAGGATCGAAGAGTAAGTCTGTGTTGCGCGATGGATGCGCATGCTGGATTTGGTGGGTGCTGATGGAATGCCAGCGGCTACGACCCCACGAAGCTCTTCCATCGCAAAGTGAACAAGCGCGCCCTCCCCGACTACTATGAAGTCATAAAGGAGCCGATGGCGTTGAGCATGATCAGGACAAAATTGTCTCAGCAGGACTACCGCGACTTCGCTGAATTCGTGCGCGACTTTGCTCTCGTCCCCCATAACGCCCAGGTGTATAATAGGCAAGATTCGCAGGCCTATGTCGATGCTTTAGAAGTGAAAAGAGTGCTGGAGCTGGAACTGAAGAAGCTAGTCGATGAGAAGATAATATCCGAGGAAGTCGCTGCCCTGCCCTACCTTGGAGAGATCCCCGAGCAGGATCCACTCCTACCAGAGGAGGAGGAAGAGGAGGAAGAAGAAGACGAAGACGAGGATGATGAGGACGAGGATGAGGACGAAGAAGACGAGGGTAAGCGGCGCAAGAGACGCGGCCCGCGTTCAACCGCAGCCATCACAAAGCGTGAGGGAGGAGGCAAATCCAAGGACGATCTTGCTAAAGACAATGACCCAGAGTCGAGGAAGAAGCGAGGCCGCCCCCCGCGAGTCGATACTCCGATGGAGGCTAGAATCAAGGCTATCATGAAGGGCATCAGAAAGCCAAGGAACCAGCTCAACAAGCTCATGGTCAGCGCCTTCGAACGTGTCCCAGATAAAGCTGTCATGCCCGAGTACCACGCCGAAATCAAAAACCCCATGGCAATGGACATCCTCAAAAAAAAGCTCAAGCGGAAGAAATACAGCTCCGTGGACCACTTCATGCAGGACGTGGAGCTGATGTTCGAGAATGCCAAGACTTATAACGAGGACGACAGCCAGGTCTACAAGGATGCCGTATTCTTGCAAAAGGAAGCGCGCATTACTGCCAAGCAGGAGAAGGAGAAACCGGATACTGAGTATGTGATGGAGGAGGGACGAATCCCTATGCCAAACGGAATCCTCCACAACGGCGAGCTCTGGAAGGTTGGAGACTGGGTCCATATCCAGAATGCGAATGACCTGACGAAACCGATTGTTGCACAAATTTACCGAACCTGGCAAGACTCGGAGGGTGGGAAATGGGTGAATGCCTGCTGGTACTACCGCCCTGAGCAAACAGTGCACCGATTTGATAGGCACTTCCTGGAGAACGAGGTCATGAAGACTGGCCAGTATCGTGATCACCGCATCGACGAGGTGGTAGACCGCTGTTTCGTCATGTTCTTCACGAGGTACAACAAAGGTCGTCCTCGAGACTTTCCTGCTGACAAGGAAATCTACGTGTGCGAGGCACGGTACAACGAGGAGAAACATAAGTTGAACAAGATCAAAACGTGGGCGAGTTGTTTACCCGACGAGGTTCGCGACAAGGATTATGTGATGGACCTGTTTGATGCCCCTCGCAAGCTCAAGAAAGTGCCCAGTCCGATCGCATATCTTCTTCGCGACGACCAGAAAGAGACGGATGATCTTCCAAAACCCGAGTGGGGTGCTGAGAACGCCCCGCCAAAAATCGGCGCTGTTCACCGTCGCCCTCGAGATCCAAAGGTAAGGGTTCACTTGAAATTTCAATCTCTACGTCCCTGTGCACGTAAGTTCAAAGTTGCGGTAAAGATTATCTGACGAGGAACAGGAATCCCCTCCCCCGGAACCAACACCATCCCCTCCACCACCTCCTCCACCAGCCCCGGCCATGCCGACTCCTCCCCTGCCTCCTCAGCCTACGAACGGATATGGTGGTGAGTCACAGAGGAATTATCCCCTTGCCCAAGCTCCTGCTGCGTCTCCAATGCCTGCTCCGACACCACAACCCCACCACTTGCAGTCCGCGTACACCCCAACTCATCCTCGACAATTCCATACACATTCAGCGTCTCCGGCACCTCATGCTTCTCACATGCCAGCTTCGCAGCCATCTGGCTATCAGGCCATCACCCCGCATCTGACGTTTTCTACACCGCAAGCACCCGCAGCCATGCCTCAATATGCCACCCCGCGGCCTGCGCCGTCGTATCAACAACCCGTTGTTCATCAGGCGCCAGTAGGTTACAAGGCACCACAGCCAGTTGAGGTGTACACTCTGAACGACCATGCAAATGCGTCCATTCCCCCTGAGATTCGCGAGCAGTTCCAGCGCGACGATCAAGGTCGAGTTCTCTTCTTCACTGCTCCACCCCTCAATACTTCACATATTGTTAAGAAAGAAGGTTCAGCGCTGGGCCATTCTGCCGGGTATCTTGCCGCGAAAGCGAAGCGCGATGCTCTGATTGCTGCAAAGCGAAAAGCGCAAGAGGCGGACGCTGCGGAGCGGGAAGAGACGGCGAAGAAGGCACGTTTTGAAGCGGAAGAAAAATTTAAGAGGGATGTCGCTGAGCTTGGTATTAAGGCTATGAGGGCTCTGGAGAACCAGCTCGCAGCTGCCACGAAGAGAGATTTCGAGACTTTGTACGGCGAGGACGCGCCGAGGGCTCTGAGGAAGCAGTTGGATCAATTGACTGAAGTGCAGAGGATTACGATGATGCAGAACCAGGAAAGGGAGAAGAGGTTTGAGAAAGAGAAAAAGGGGTCACCAACGCCCATCACGGGAATGACAGTTATGTTGGAAGAGGAATACTGAAACCCAAGGGTGCCCAGTTTTCGTGTTATTTGAAAATTATTTTTTTCTGTCGGTGGCATTGTCAAGGCGGTTCAAAGGATAGGTATAAGGATATCTGAGCGCAGGCGTTTGGGCGAGGATGCCTTCGTAAGGCAACCTAGGTAATCTGAGGGGTCCGCGAGATGTGGTCTACCGGCTCAATATTAATAGGTAGCTTACAGTGTACTCCTTCTAGTGGGGTCTATGTACAATTACTTATAAGAAATCCCTCGCCTTCAGCCTTCAACCTAGCTCATGCGTGAGATAACCGTGGAGCTTGGCAACTGAAGATCCCTCCTTTGTTCCCCGTACTCACACATCACAACACGCCCATGCTAACGGAAGCCTCTTTCGAACGATCTCCGAAAGATATCCGGGGTTCGAACACGTCTGAAGCTGTCCGATTTTGGATATGCATTGTTAGATGGACCAGCCAATCAACACAATGTACCTAACGAACCTCGGCATGTGAGCGTCCTCAGCTCCCAGATTCCACATCCGATCCGATCATGCGGAGAGTGCACGAAGCAGCGTCTCGCCAATCCGGCCGAGGCCAAATCCTTTTGAAAGTAATCATGAAGTGTCTATAGCTCCTGCCTCCTGTCACCTATCTCCTGACTCCTTGCGTATTCCTCCCCTCCAAAGAATCTCGAGCTCCTCCCCCCGCCTCACCACTTGAACCTCCGAAAGCCTCGCGCTAGGAGCTCCCCCACCATGCCTCACGCGTCCCTATCTCGCGAAGCTGTCGCTACCCACAACAAGTCCGACGACCTGTGGTGCATAATCGACCACAAAGTCTACGACCTCTCCGACTTCGTGGACGCACACCCCGGCGGCTCGGTCGTCCTAGAACAAATCGCTGGCACAGACGCCACCGTCGCATTCTATAACCTCCACCGACAGGAAGTACTCCAGAAGTACACTTCCTTATGCATTGGCACTGTCGAAGGCGAGAAAGCGGAGGTCATCGTCCCGAAGCCCGGGGATTTGAGTCCAGTCCCATATGCGGAACCCCTCTGGTTGAGACCGCAGTTCAAAAGCCCATATTTCAAAGAAAGCCATAGAGAGCTACGGCAGAAGGTGCGGGAGTTTGTAGATACATATGTAACCCCTGAAGCGCAGGAGAAGGAAAGGGATGGGTCGTATATTTCTCAAGAACTGATTAACCGGATGGCGGAAAACGATCTTCTTGCGATGCGGCTAGGGCCGGGAGAGCATTTGCATGGGAAGAAATTGATGGGGTTTTTGCCGGGCGAGGAGTTTGATTATTTGCATGATCTGGTGCAGGCGCAGGAATTTGTGAGGGCGAATGCGAGGGGTTTTCAAGATGGAAATATGGCGGGCATGATGATTAGTTTGACGGCAGTGATGCAGTGGATGGGAAATGACGAGTTGAAGGAGAAAGTCAAGGAAGAGGTGTTGCGGGGAAGGAAGAAGATGTGTTTGGCTATTACAGAGGCTTTTGCTGGTATGTTTCCTGTTCCTCCGCATCCCCTTAACTTGATTCTTGATGGTTGAGAAAATATGTGTACTGATAGTTAAACTTAGGAAGCGATGTAGCTGGCCTCCGTACCACTGCTACAAAAACTGCCGATGGAAAGCATTATATTGTCCGTGGCACCAAAAAATGGATCACGAACGGCATGTGGTGCGATTACTTTGTCACGGGTTGCCGCACACCAAAAGGCTTCTCCGTGCTCCTCATCCCGCGACAAGAAGGCGTCGAGACATCCCTCATTAAAACCTCATACTCAACAACTGCCGGAACAGCCTTTGTTGAATTTAACGATGTGAAGGTGCCAGTGGAGAATCTCCTCGGGCAAGAGGACAAAGGCTTCATCGTCATTATGAGCAACTTCAACCACGAGCGATTTATGATGTGTTGTGCTGTGATACGACAGTCTAGAACTGTAGTTGAGGAGTGTTTGAAATGGAGCAATCAGCGGATTGTGTTTGGGAAGAAACTCGTTGAGCAACCTGTTATTCGCGCGAAGTAGGTTTCCTCTTGGATTTGCCGATGAGAGAGTGCCTACCTGACTTACTGTGGTGTAGACTCGCAAAAATGATATCTCACGTGGAAGCGAACCAAGCCTGGCTCGAACAAATCGCCTACCAAATGAGTCAAATGTCGTATGCCCAGCAATCCAAACACCTAGGCGGACCAATCGGTCTTCTGAAATCGTTCTGCACACGTTCGGCGCATGAGATTGCCGATGAGGCGGTCAATATTTTCGGTGGTCGAGGTATTACTCAAACTGGAATGGGAAGGGTGATCGAACAATTCCATCGCACGTATAAGTTTGATGCGATTTTGGGAGGTACTGAGGAGATTTTGGCAGATTTAGGGGTTAGACAGGCGATGAAGGATTTCCCAAAGAGCATGCTGTAGACATGATATGTCTTGGGAGAGTTATATGTAGGATAGCGCGGATAGAATTAAGACCTTTGTGCTACATTGGCCGGATATGCGAAACCCTGTCTTGCTTGAGAGAACAGTGAGGAAGGGGGACATTGCAGCGAAGTACTGATTGATGACAACGCTTGCACAACACTGAAGCAATAAAGTCGTTAAATCGGTATGAGAAGCTTACCAAATCCGGATATGCCAATGTGTAAATAGTCCTCCGTCCTACCGTGGAAAGTTTCCAGCAGCCACTCCGGGATACAAACCATTCCAATACTCTCCCCCTATCCCCCCATCCCCCTATCCCCTTATCCCTTTATCCCCAGCTCCACCAGTAGCATTCCGAAAATTACAGGACCTTTCCGCGCCCAGGAAACACGCGGTACAAGCCGATGGCGTTGTCCTCTCCATCTAGGAACATCCATTCTTTCTCGGATGAGGCTTTATGCAGCAACACTTCAGCCTCACCCCGAATCCCACTCACCAATCACATGCATCACAAGTCTCGATTTGGCAGGAACCAGGCAAGGATCTCTCGCCCGCTACCTTGACTTATCCACGTGTGACCCGAAGCGGCCTGTCTTGCATTAGGCCGATCTAGATTGGAGATTCAGCACCGATACGTGTCACCTGCGCAGTCGCATTTGTTTCTGCAGGTAAGGCGAGGGCACATGCGACAGGAGAAGCTGCGACTTTGTGTCTGGAGATGTCTCTCTTCGTCAGAGTGTTGAGGAAGAGGTTGTGAAGAAGGGATGAGGATGGGAGGGTGAGGTGAGCATGTCAGCGTGCGCCATGTTCCTGGGTTGCCGCTGGTGGAAGGCGGTGGAAACTATACACACGGCTGGAGGTCGAGCGCGCCTTGTTTCTGGCAGGGTTTCTGCGCGGCGGTACAGACATTGCCGCTGCGAACGCTTTGTCGCCGGCGAGTCGTGCGCATGGTATGAAGCGGGTCCGGGCTCGGTCTGCCTCTCTTTAAAAGAAGCTTTCGTCCTCGCCGGGCTGCGTCACCATTCCATTCATCATTCACCTGCCATTCACTGCACCTGTCTGCCGACGCCCTGAGCAACCGTGGAACTGACAACAACTTTCACCTGACGAAAATTCTTATTCACACCCGCTACGGTATATAAGATTCTGCGCTCTCGCCTGGGACGAGGGCCGATCTGTCTGCCTTATCTGCATTGCCGCGCATCTCCGTCGTCTCTGCAGCCTCACCAGCTCACATCCCAACAAACTACATCTACAATCACAACTCGCACACCAACCCACAACATGCACCGCACCTCCAGCATCTCGAGCATGAGCTCCACCTCCAGCACCGACGCCGAGGAAACTATGCAAATATTCGTCAAAAATGTCTCCGGAAACAGTAAGTCCTCCCTTCCCTATCTCATTCCGATGCTCGGAACGCACCTCGCGCATCCACCCATCCATCTCAACACTAACACCCCACTCGTAGCAATCCCCCTCACACTTCCCTCTAACACCACACTATCCACACTCCTCGCCCTCCTCACTCTCCGCACCAACATCCCATCTAGGGACCTCCGTCTCGTGCACGCCGGAAAACATCTCTCATCCTCTCATCTCACCCTCGCTGCCTACAACATCCCACACGACGCAACCCTACATCTTACCGTCCCCCTGCGCGGCGGAATGCCGCCGAAGAAAATCCGATGTAGCTTCAAGGACTGCAGGGACGCCGCGCAGCGCATCGTCGGGGATTGCGGGTTCTGTGACGGGCATTTTTGTGGGAAGCATAGGTTGCTGGAGGATCACAAATGTGAGGGTTTAGAAGATTGTAAGAAGGAGAGTCATGAGAGGAATGCGGATAAGCTTAATAGTGAGAGGACGGTGGCGATTAGAGGGGTGTAGAAAGGCCGGCCCTGGGCATCTCTACAGTTTACGCTTAGTGCAGTGTTGAGAAGGATAGGAAACAAGTCACTGGGTCCTTATTTACTCAGACGGAGGGCCTGTTCTACTTTGCCTTTGCCTGCTCTGCTAGCGATCGTCAGCATGGCGGGTTTCTTTGCGTTTCCATGCGTCCAGCGATTTTCCGGTCGGCGGCGTTTTTCCCTTTCGTCTCGTCGCCTGAGATTCTGCGGTTTTAGATCAGATCCCTGTAACGCTTTCCCATTTCTCTGTCTGTCGGTCTGTCGGTGTGTCGGGGTCCATCCAGCGCTGTGTATGGTAACAGAGGTCATGGGTTAAGCGAGGCGTCGATTGAGTAGTCTGACGACCGGCTTTTTTGGTAGCTAATCCTATGACATGCATGCATAACTTCACAAAAACAGTTTCTGCCCTTTTTAGATTTGCTGTGGTGAGTAAGGGACGATGTAGGGAGGGCTACGTTGCTTTTGCTCTTGCTAGGCAGAGGTAAGGCAGGACTCTCCTTCACTTCACACGAAGCACCCCTTCGGAGGACTCACCCATATCCTGCTTCCTTCCAGGCTTGGTTTACACTTAGGACCCTAAACTTGTTGTTACTCCTAACCTACTTTCACTGCCTACCTGCTGTATGGGCATGCCTCTAAAGCTGCCTCCTAAGACCATCTCACTTTCAGAGTTAGCTGACCATCCATGGCGCCAGATTATCCATAACCATCTCTCATATTCATGGATATGTGCGTTCTGTAGATCGGATATTACACAGCTACAAGTCAAGAACAGACTTTACGGTCGGGGGAAAGGCGTGGTGGGTGTACAAGGTCAATGATATCAGGACCTCTTAGTTTTCAGTGAGGAACCAAGAGAAAAGCTCTTCAAACGCCCAAGAGTCGAACTTCATAGGTAGTATTACCCCACAAAATAGGTGGATGAGTCCTGTTCTGTATCTACAGCGTCTTCCAGGTAGGGAACAAAGCGAAGAGCACTCCCTGACCGACTCAGTGGCAGAGTGACCGTCTTCAGTGGCTTCATTCTTGGCAAGCTTAGATACTTACTGTATACCCTAAGACAACGTCAAGAGACCGACGCTGCCTTGGGAAGATTTCGGGTGTGATGTGACTGCACAAGATCGCGAGCGCCGGATTCGGACGGCGCTTGCTGAGACTGGTCATTTCCTCGGCCGAATGCTGGGCAAGCCTCAACACCAAAGCCGGATGCAGCGATCGTCCCACCCTGTATCCTCCTCTTCCACATTCTCCCGCTCTCCAGGTCAGGCTACGTTCCACGCTGCATCCCACGCTTCTGCTGTGCTCAAACGACGTCAGTTTTCTTTGAGTCTGCCTACTTCTACTTGCGTATTATCATCGCTGTTAGTTAGCCGTCAATGTCGTCAGCGCTGCAACCTTAACCTCACTATGAACGCTCGGACTTCTTTCTTGCCTCTCCCCGAAATGCAGCTCCTTACCTGGGGCTAATTCACGGCGACACATACGGGATACAAAAACCGCTCGCGAACCCCCTGGATCTGCCTGCCTGCTTTACCTGTGTCGAACAACTAGGAACACATGGTGACATGGAAGATATTGACCAAAGATCACGCCAAGACGCAGATCTCTCGTCCTAGATTCGCACCCTTTAGCAGTAGCACAACGTAAACCACATATAAGTTGTTGGGGGCCGTGCTAAGAGATAATTGCCGTGGGTGCATACATCTCATCTCTTCAGCAGTTCTAGTAAGGGTGGTTTGGTTGTTGTGGAGATGCGATCAATTGTTTCAACAGTGCGCTGGCTTGGCGGAGTGGGTACATTTGGGACACTCAACCTAATGATTACAGGTGCACAGAACCCTGAGAAGGTTCCACTTCCTTTAGTGCATGTCTTCTTGGATCTTTGTTGCTTCTCTAACCTCTTTCAAACTGAGCCAATGGGTTCTATCCGTCTTGGAAGAGTACTGCCTGTGTGTTCTACTGAGAATTGCACCATTCATTCTCCTCTTGGTTCAGCCCTCCTTCAATTGTTTGCGAATAGTGCCCAGAGGTCTCACCGACACCGCCATCAGTCTCAACGGTTGTACGGTCCGCAGTCTGGATGCGTTCCTCAGCGGAACCGAGGAGCATAAGCTGAAATATGAATGCATGGATGGGCAGGCTAAGGCGGGAATGCACTGGAGGGCTTGGCAGGTGGAACCCTTCTGATAGGGAACCAGTCCATCGTCCAATCAGTCTTGATATTCTCCTGACTCCCGCCGGTACACGCCAAGAGGTTCCGGGTGGACGCCCCGCTCCGCTATTCTACCCTTATAACGCCTTGCGCTTGCATCAATAGAGAGCTTTCATGCTTCTTCAACAAGCAGATTACACCGGTGAAACAGTCTGAGCTGACAAGCTGTGTTGAGGGTCTTATCTATTACCCCGATTGTCTACATGGGGTTTCCGCCGTGGAGTTCGGTCCCCACGATGCTCTCGCCCGCTGCCACCCACGGTACACCTGCGAAGGCTGTGTTTGCTAGACGGTGGGTCTGCTTGGGGAGCCTGTGACATCATCGACAACAAAACAAATGCCAGCTCACGGGTCACTCGTTATCACTGTGGGTAAAGAGACGAGAGAGATCGGGATACCGTGGGACACTGAGGCAATCCCGACGCTGTGCTCTGCATTTCAATTCACCATCAGTCCGAAATCGGTATGTCCCATACTATCTTACCTTGGGCCGTATGTGTCTTGGCCGTTGTTGGCGGATATCCAAGCGTAGCGATAAACACTGCTCTGAGATTGGCGGAGTCGAGGTCCGCATCGGCGTAGAGCTTTCTCGTCTTGGATGTTCTTGGATTTGTTTCCTTGCTTTGCTTGTGTGTCCGTTGAATCTATTCATCATTACATGCCAGGTTTGACTACCACGTCACCATGGAGGTGAGCCAGCCACCACAGGGGCCGACAGTAACGTGCGTGCATGGGCTCTAGGTTGACCCATAATGGGTTTTTTGTCAATGAAGTATCTCTCAATCGTATCCTTCCCCCAGACATAAGTCATCATTTGAGAAGGGATATCTGTTTTAGGAATCTCTCGGCCTTCATTCTTCTACGCTACCTTTTACTGAGGGACGCTACCGGATACTGCATCATTCTGGTACATTACTCATCGCCTCCTTTGAAAGAAGTCCCTTCGCTTCGCTCAGACACCCTCCCCTCTACAAGATTATCGCCATGGACCCGCGATCGATAGACGAAAAGGATAGCCAGAAGGCCGTTTGTGTCGATTTGCCACTTTCAAACAGCACCACAGAAACAGCGTCAATGGAGAATGAATCCATTACTTCTTCCCTCGAATCCCCTGGCGACGAACCGAATTGGCCACGATCATGGAGAGCATACGCTTGCTGGCTTGCTTGTTTCTTCCTCATGTCTAATTCATGGGGACTCGTCAACGCATACGGAACATTCGCCTCCTACTATGTTGGCCATTCATTACGAGCAAACGACCAACTTGAACTCAACCTCATTGGTTCAACTGAATCATTCATGGTGCTGTTTCTTTCGGCACCAGTGGGGAGATTGCTGGATGCGGGCCATTTCAGAGTTATTATTGGGGCGGGTGCATTCCTTGTGTCTTTGGGCATGTTTATGCTCTCTATTGCTCACCCAACGACCGAGGATGCGCCAGCCAATTACGGCTACATTTGGGTTACCCAAGGATTTGTTGTTGGGCTAGGGATGGCTTGTTACTTTGTTTCCAGCTCTCAAGGTACGTATATCTTCTTCAATTAAGGGCTCTTCACTGACAAACGGCAGTCGCAGCAACATGGTTCCCCAACCGTAAGGGCCTTGCCATCGGATTAGTAGCATGCGGTGCCAGCGTAGCTGGGGTCGTGTATCCGACTATGACACGGTATCTTATTGATGCACTAGGTTTTAACAGTGCAGTTCGTTGTATTGCAGGCCTCGTCACCTTAACTTCTATCTTCTCGCTCATCTTCTCGATTCCTAATCCGACTCACACCCATCCACGGCCGCAGTCATACCGCAAGCTCCGGACATGGATTGACACGGACGCATTTACCAACAAGGCCTTTTGTTGGTTCATGACTGCTGTTTCATTCCTTTTCTTCGGCTTTTATCCTATATTCTTCAACCTGGAGGAAGTCAGTCTATGGCCCCCCTCTACCTCCCTCCTAATTACCACATACTAACACCTACCAGTGGGCCGCAGTATCTGGCTACGGTACCCGCGACGGCATCCCCACCCCCGTAAAAGTCATCGACAGCAGCAACAAACCGCTCCAAACTTTCTGGCTCCTAACCATCATGAACGGAGCCTCTACAATCGGCCGTCTCACCATGGCCGCCTTCTCTGACAAAACTGGCCCTTTGAACATGCACATCGGCGCACAACTCCTATCTTCCATCCTCGTCCTCGCCCTTTGGACACTTGCTGATTCCACCGGCGTCGCTATCGTGTTCTGCGTCCTGTTTGGTATCACGAGTGGCGCTGTCATAGGCCTTCCCCCCGCCAGCGTCGCCAATATTCTGTCGTGTACGTATAGGTCGCCGAGTGAGAATGTTGTTGGGCATTCGAAACTTGGGCAGTGGACGGGTATGATGTATTCTGCTGCGGCGATACCATCGCTTGTTGGACCTGTTGTTGTGGGACATTTAGTTACCGAATATTCGACGTATATTACAGTGCAGTGCTGGTCCGGTGCGTGTTTATTTATCTCCGCGCTGTGTATGCTTACCGCAAGGTGGTATTTGCCGTGTACAGATGGGGAGCTTGTGGGTGTTAAGCTTGCGAGGTGGGTGGGGAGGCATGGCGGACAGGGTGGAGAGAAGGATAAGGATAACACGAAGGGGAAGGGGGGAGAAGAGAGGAATGAATCAGATACGGATGCGGAGTTTGGTGGTGGCGCTATGAAGAGGGTCTCATGTGAGTTTGTCTCGAGAAATGGCTCGGGGGTGGGAGAGGCGGTTGAGGCGGTTCCGCCGGCGGTGCGCATGGGGGATGATGGGAACATTTAGGAAGATTGACTTAGGATTAATTGCGAGGGTAGGAGGGTGGGACGGTTTGAGGGCGTGCTTTTAGAATGATAGGTGTAATATGGGTGTAGACGAACACGGTATGGTGTTTTGATGAGGCTTGATTTTCTCGCTATATTAGATCACCTCTCGGATTTGGATGTTCTCTTTCATTTCTTTGACGAAATCTTCGCAAAGTCCCGCTTTCTTCACTAAGTAGGGCTTAAACATGACGATTAAAGACATTTAGGGTAAGCACTCAACATTGATTTTCGACCATATTCAACTAGCGTAGACGCTGTCGCTCCTCTAATACTAGGTTGAGTGCCTTTCCTGATGTAACGACAGAGTTGGAATATAAGAAAGTATATAGTACGCCCTGGGCACGAGATGCACGAAAATATAGTTATTTGTCCAAGAAGGAAAGTCGAGTTCATGCGCGAGTTTGCGATTCCAAGCGAACTTTGGGTACCAATACATTTGCAGAGTCTGAAATCTGACAGGCGGCATTTGAATTGCATTACAATGGAGCGAGTCTTAATACACCACATATCGCATGACGTCTCCGAATCTCTACCCTGCAGATCTAATATCGTGGCAAGGTACCGACAGGTCCGGGAGTTTTAAGGGCCTCAATTATCTACGGCGTAAATATTCACTGAGCATATGATACCGTGTGCACGACCTTGAATCAAGCATATCCGCAGCTTAATAATCTCCAGCCAGCCGCCTTGGAAACGAAAGTGTAGGGGGAAGGGAATTCGATCGTCGGCTGGCCTAGGTATCTTACATCATGGATACCTCGTGCGTTCCTTGTTCCATCTCGTCCCATCTCGTTGCGTCTTGGGACTCAAGTCTTGGCTATGGCGGAGTACATTGCAGCGCAGGGTTTACGTTGAATGAAGATGCAGATGCAGATGGAGAGGAATTGTGAAAGGGTAGTCTGCATTTCTCTTGGGAAGGTAGAAGATTATGGAAGGTACTTACTGTACAGAAGTTCTGGTACTCTCCAAACGAGAGAAGAGGAAGGCTTGATTTCAAGTTAAATAAAAGACCACTAAGGTCTCTAGGGTTGGTTTAGTCCGCCATAGTGAGTTTAGTGGAGAGCGCCGATCATCATCACGATGTAAATACAAGTTCTAACAGCCTGTGACTCGTGCAAGGATGCCGGTGGAACGATACCTCTTTGTTCGCATTTTCTCACGCTCTGTGATATTGGTAGTGTTGGATGTTGTGATTAACAACTGCCAGTCGCAATTTGGCTTTGCAAATACAGGGCCTGCTCTGAGCAGACTGATAGCGTCTGATGGGCCATGGTATGTGCGCCGAACCAACGTGAAGCTTCTAGAAACAATACATCTGTTTATATAAGGCTTTCTATACAATCACAGGTGTTCTCCCCAACACAGTCAGCCACTACGATGCTTAAAAAACCTTACTGTTAACTCACCTACAAGGAACGCATTCAAATCTAGATCCTTAGTGAGCTTAGATAGACACAAAAAGCTATCGCGCGGTACACTAGCGTACCATAGAGCACAATATCTATATGCCTTTGATCTCCAGCAACGCCTACGAAACCTTCGGGTAGGATGCTTTGCTAGATACCCCTATTTGACACCTTCTCTACCATGTAATATAGTAACCCTCCAATAGTTCCTAAAGCGGTTAAGCAAAACCGCTTCAGATAATCTTAATGTGACGAAAGGCCTCAAAGCCAAAATCAAAGCCGCCATTGCCCTCCTTACAGGGCGAATATAAGGCCTCCAAATAGGGATCCAAGCCATTCTCGATGCAAGCTCAGAGAGAAAAGAGCTCGGCAAGGCCGATGCTCGCAGCTAGCTCACAGAGACCTAGCAATCAGAGGTTCTGGATGCCATTAAGCGGCAAACCGTTGCGCTCAGTCACTGCTATCAGGCTTGCATGGCGGCAATCAAAGACACAACGAAGGGAACAGGACATGACTACAAGTACGTGAAGGTTCCCAAGCAAGCGAGGCTACTAATAGGCGACTTAGGTAGTATAAAGGGAGGTACGTTGCATACCTACAGTAATATTGAGGTCAATAGAGGATAGATAGTGGTTGGGAATACAGCCCGCGAATTTGCGAAGGATTTCTTTAAATGAGCCAAGACTTCATGTCGGTGAGCGGATTGTTGGTTCAATAGCAACTGAGCTCTTATTCTTTGTAGTAGGAACCGACTACAACAGAGTACCTGCACGCTAAACGTACATGTCACATATAATCCACGCTCACGGCGACTGGATGCTGGATTTACTTGTCTGCCTCCTGCCTGCCATCGTACATCGTCTTCCCCTTGAAATTCCCGATCGTGTGCCCAAAATGGGCGAAGGCATGGCCGCCAGCTTTGATACCGGTGAACGTAGCACCCGCCGAAGACTCCCCCGGCGCAAGGTTATGGCCAAAATGGCCGACAAAATTGTCCTGAACTTCAATGTCGGAAAACAAGTCACCGCCCCAACGGAGTAATTCGCCGAATTTCGGGTCTACGGCCATGGCACTCCCCTTAAGGAGGTTGATATCCTGCTCACAAGCTCGGTGGTGCTTCTTGAACGCCTCTGAATCTGCGGACCGCAACTGATGGAGCTTTTTTTGAAGCCCAGCAACCTCCAGCTGGTCAACTAGGCCTTTGACAGCCATCAAGGTCGGCCTAGAGATTGCTCTCTTGGGTCGGCCCTCGGTAGATGATGTCTGATGAGATGGCCCTCGATGTGCCCCAGCAGCATCCTGCAATGTTTGAATAAGCCAGTGGTCTTCGGCGTTCGTCAACCCAGCCGAAAGCGGCATTTCTGCTCCCAGTCCAAGGGTATTCTGGATGAAGCTCAAGAATGAGTCAAATAGGCTCGCATCTGCACCCTCAGGCGTTTCCGAAGCCCCGGCTAGCTGGACGATAGCGTCCCGCCAGCGGCAAAGGCGCAATTTCAAGATCTCGAGCTGAAGCGTTTCCTCGATATTCTCGCTGGGTTTGATGTTTTCAAAAGAATCAATAATATCATGAAACTTATCTGTCAAGTCAAGAGAGCCGACTTTCAGCCGAAAGATTGCTGCCATCTTCTGCACTAGGTCGGGCAAGGGGGGATCGACGATTGTAGCGCTGTTACACTTAGCTTTCGAGGTTTGGGATATTACAAGACTGCCTTACTTGACTGAACTGTCAAAGTGGGGTCATCGGTCTTGGCATTACGGCTAAGCTAAGCTGGGTTACGATAGGCCCAGATCACTATCCCCATGTCCTCCTACTTTAAGGCGCTGGGCTGTGGGAGGGACAACGAACGTCCGGCCGGGCGTAACTTTCGTGACGTCCACATCGACGGATATGCCAACGTCCACCTAGGAGACGAAAACATATACCATGTTGGTAAGGGGGCCAAAAGACCGGATCCGAGAAGGCACTCATCTGGAATCCAGGACTGGATAATCCCCTCAGTCGCTTACCATATGCTTCAGACGTGCCGTTCAATTCGTACCGGTTCGATATGGGTTCTGGCAGATACCAGATGCGGAGCACCAGGACTTTGCACTTCACGACATATCGCCGTCGACTATCAACTACGACATTGCTGACGCTTGGTGGATCCTCTAGAGGGTATAGCTCGTGAGACAAGAATAAGCTATATACGTCCGGGCTGCAGTAATTGGTCACATGACTATCGACATTTAGCATCTCCTGGCCTCCGGAGCCACACTTGGCCACAACGGCGGCAGATTGTCTGATAAGGCCCCGCTGCACCCTCCACATTCGAGCATGCCGGGAGTCGTTAGTCTTTCAATCATCTCGCCACTTGGGCAAGTCCGGATGTGTCGCAATGTTGGCAACATGCATCCGCTATTGGAAGGAGTGGATTACGCCTTGTTTCACAGCGGCTTTGTCGCTTGTCTAGGCCAGGGCCCTAAACTAGCGTCGGGGTTCAAATATTTGGCGTACATAGGGCAATTCAGGAGGGTGGTTAGACAGAACTGTTGGGGGCGAACTGTGCCTCTCAGAAGTAACATCGTAAAAGTTCTCTAACCTGCGCTTTAAGCGTATAATGTTCAAAACACAGCATGTTTGCAAGAATTGTGATCCTATAGGGTATGACTATTTGGTGGTCGGGGGTGGGACCGTTGGCTGCGTAATCGCCTCTCGCCTTTCCCATGCTAGCCACCGCGTAGCTCTCTTCGAGACGGGCCAGTGAACCATTCAACAGAGATCATGAGCTCTTCAGGTGCGCCATTTCTGCACGGCACTCCTGCCGAGTACAATTACAAGAGCGCTCCACAAGCTGCGCTCGATAATCGCGAAGTCCCAAATTATGGCGGCAAACTCCTCTCTGGATCTAGTGGAGTCAATTACGGTCTGTGGACTCGTGGTCACTCGTCTGATTACGACGCTTGGGCCAAACACGTGGGGGACGAACGACGGAGCTATGCTAACTTGCTCAAGTACTTCAAGAAGACGGAGAACTACCAGTGTTCGAACGTTGGCAGTGAAGTACACGGAGTTGATGAGCCTATTTCTGTGATTCATGGCACCAAAGAATATCCTCTAAGGATGGAAATCTTGAATGCACTCCAACAACGTGGCCTTAGTCAAGCCCGACGGAACCAGCGGAGACCCGTTTGAGATAAGTGAATTTACCTAGAATTGGAAGACCAACTAAAGGGAACCTTCTGGCTTGGCCTACGATCTCTCTAAAACGGAAGTGTTTACCAGCACCACTGTTGCACGCATTGACATCAATACCCACACCAAAATCGCGACGGGAGTCACTCTGTAGAATAGCCAGTCTATCAAAGCACACAAGGAGATTATCCTTATCTGCGGTGCGATCAGAACCCCACAAGTTCTTATGCTGTCGGGTACAGCGCTTCCAACCGTACGTACTACGACTCAGAAAAGTGAATAGTTACGGTCACGTGAGCCGTACAAACGTAAGAGGACTGTCAATCGTAACGTACGACTGAGAGAGGTCCCCTTACGGTCCGTAATACGTCTCAGAAAGTCGATTTTTCCTAGTAATATAGGACCTGATTAGACATCCATGGGCAAGCGTTGGGAGGGCGTTTAAGGGGGCGTTTTTAAGTAACAATTAGTGAAAACTCTGTTGTGTACAATAAGCAAGAACGCGTTAGAGAGGGGGGGGGCTAGGGTATTAGATCCTATGCAAACAGTTAAATTTTTGCCCTTAATATTATACTTAAGTTATAATTTGCTATTCTCTCTTACTAGTAATTGCTTATACAAAAGGCAGCAGAAAACCTAAGAGTTATAGCAATATTATAACTCTTATTAGGAGGACTTTACTATAGCTAAGGATAACAGCCCCTTGTTTACAGATCCTCTCACATAGGAAATAAAAGTAGGATGTTTCTCCTACCCTACGCTCTTTAAAATCGCCCTTGATTTCCTCTCTATCCCGTGTATGTTCTGTGACTGCGAGAGAGCCTTCTCTAGTAGGAGAAGGACTTGCCACCTTAACAGGAACCGCCTCTCTAGAGAGACAATTAAGGCTCTTTAATTGCAGAAGAACTAGCTCTGCTAGAGGGCAATTTACTCTAAGCTCTTAGCTCTCTCAGATTGTCCGTACGCAGCAGCAGCGTCACAGCCTAGATACGAGCTATCGCGCACGAGCAGGATCACGTATCTATGTCACATGATGCTCGTGCGCGAACCTCTGTGCGCGAACATCTAGATATTCCCCTTTTCCTCCGTACAAAGGAAAAGACAGAGCAATAGAACCAGAAACATGTTGCCCCCACCCTACCTACTTCGTACGCTGTGCACACCGTACACTACTCTTACTCTTGCTACTTAAGTGCTCATACCATAAGCAGCTAGCTAAAAGAGCCCATTTAACACAGATTATATTTGTTCCAGCGTTACGTCGTAACTTCTGCCAAGTTGTTAAGCCGTACAAGGATTCTTAATCGTTACGGTTGAGACTTGTAAGTGGTCCTCATGTCAATCGTATAGTAGAAACGTACTAAGAAAGTCAGACGTAACGTCCCGGATTTGGTCGAGTCGAATCGTATTACGTACGGTTGGAAGCGCTGGTCGGGTATCGGGCCGGGGGAGCAACTTCTTTGGGAATAAATAACATTGGCGATCTTCCCGTCGGCAAGAATTTACATGATCACGTCTCTGGGTCCCTGTTCTTGAAGCTCCGCAATCTGGAAAAAGGACTTGCGATCGGGTCACCCCTTTTCAACAAGTCGGAGTACTTCACGTCAACTGCAGTGGATTGGATCTCTACCATCACTATCCCCAATGATCTAATATCCGCCGCCGCCGCCGACGGAACTGGTCTCGATGAGCTGTTTGACCCAGGTCCTCGAGCGCATATTGAGTTCTTGACAGTTTACGCGCCTATTGCTGGTGGCGGTACAGAATACCGACTCCCATTCGATGGAACCCATATATCCACACCCACTCTCCTACTACTCCCTACTAGCCGTGGACAAGTCACTCTTGCTTCCATGAATGCTACAGATGATCCAATCATCGACCCGGGGTATCTAAGTACTGAGGTCGATCGCGTCCTTTTGCGCGAAGTTTACGTGCGACGATACGAGCAATGGGAACCCCACAAGGGCAGGGCGTGGTTGGAGGGGGAAGCCCTCCACCGAGTTTTCCGCAACTCACAAGTGCGAGCATGGACGAGGAGATTGATGCTCGCCTTGCTCTTATAGGCTCTAGATTCTATCAAAATGCCGGCACAGCAGCCATGGCACTATTGTGGACACCGAATGTAATGTTAAAGTCATCAGACGTTTGAGAGTTAGCGATATAAGCATTTTGCCTCTACCTATAGCGTCACACTACCAGACGGCAATGTATGTTATCGCAGAGGCGACGGCAGCCATGATCTTGGAGGACGAGGTCCCCAGGGCGTAGTGTAACTATGTATGCCATATGCCTGTGTATGGGTTGAATACGCTTTCATAGCTCAAGAGCTCAGGCCACTGGGATTCCAATTTCGAATACAAATGCAATTTTTGTAGTTGAAGGAAGTTGAAAGTTATTGGTTGAAAGAGGAAGAGATCAGCTGAGTCCATCTATACACACTAACGCTGGCGTAAGGCCAAGTGGCCTATTTTAGCCTCTACTAGCGCTTACTATCGCAAGGTTAGAGCTGATAGATGATAGAGGGCTTGGAGTTGCGAGTCGTCAATCAGGTGGGAACTAAACTAGTGGATTAAGCAGAGGTATCAGGTCTTTGGAGCTTATAGAGACTAGAAGCTAACTATATAGTAAAGAACCAAAGAACGCTAGTCTTAATAAGAAAATCACTAGCACTAGAAGAGTAACTACTGCTGCTGCTTTAAATAATAATTTTACTAGAACCCTAGACGTTGCTACCCTCTTTAATAGGCTATATTCTAATATAGACAAAGACGTCTAGAAGCTAAGAGAGTCTATATAGGATAATAACCACCTTAGCTAGAAAGCCTATTACAACCTAGATACGCAATCTATCTTAGCATTATACAACAGAGCTGTAAGCCGAGATGGCCCTTACACACGACGGGTATATATATTGTTCTGTACGCACATCGACTGTTGATTGATTATTCGCATCTTTTGATTGTATTGGCGGAGCGGTACAGAGCCCCGTCCGTACATAATAATCAACCAACAGTTGATTCGCGTGCAGAATAGTATATATACCCATCGCGCGTAGGGACCCTCTCAGCTATATGTCAGGGGCATAACTCAATTGCGGGTAGACTTGGCGAAAGATGGGTGATCCTCCTTTAGGGATAATCGCAGCCTGACCAGGCTTGATGTCCTCAATTGCAGTAAAACCCAGCTGATCCAAAGTTACAGACTCAAACGCAAGCATGTAATCCCAACCTTTTCCATCCTGGTTAGGTCGTGAACCAATAACGAGAGGCCGAATGTTGTTGTGATCTCTAGCTCCGAAGATTGCATATCCGGCCACCATTCCGCAAAAGGCGAAACCACCAATAGTGATCTTATACCTAATGGTCCAATTTGAGTCTTGCCCGACAAAAGTAGTTTGGGAAGAAGGACGATATAACATAAATCCATAGCTGAGAAGATTCTACCTATATGTTTCGAAGCCCTGTGAAAAGATCCTCCGCATCTACAAGCCTTTTATCCGTCTGGGGCAGTTGAGAGGCAAAGACCTGGAGCATGATCTCCGAGTCGCTGTCTGTGTTTATATGGCGATGAGCTTTAATATCCAGGTACTCCTTAAGCTTTTCGGTATCGAGAAGGTTCCTAAATAATAGCTGGATTAGTGATAGATGACCGAAACTAAGCAGTTCTTAGAACCCACCCGTTGTGCGAGAATAAGAGGCCATAGGGTCTAATCGTCTATCAGGATTGACTTCACTTCAATTTACCTATTAAAAAGAGTCAAAGCTCACGAGCTGACATAGAAAGGCTGACATTTAGCGTTCGGTGAAGTCCTGGCTGTGGATATCGGAGATGACCAAGGCCCATAAATCCAGGGAGCTCGAGGATGAGTACGCCATCGCGGAAGACCTTCGAAGCCAGGCCTCTACCCCTGCAAGAGTAGATTCGACCTGAACTGTGGGACGTCGCAATACCACAGGCATCCTACAAGGTATTAGTTGGTTCATAGTCATGCCAGAGAGCAAGTGCCTGGAGGTTCGGAATAGTTTTAACAACGGTCCTAGCCAATGGGTAGTACCTATTAAAAGCGAGAGTGAAGAAAAAAATCAGCTGAATTACCTGGCCACGATGTTGTAGTGCGTAGAGGGCCTCATGCAAATCGACACCGCCTTGATCGCATTCTACATTCCCGGAGATATCTATCTATCTATCTCCCGATGCTCTAAGCTTGAATTGTAGAGTAGCGATAGCTAAGCCCCCCGAATAGGATCTAACCTTCAAGTAAGAATCAAGTCACGAGGCTAATCTAGTCTTTAGAAGGGACTTACTGAAGAGACTAAAAAACACAAGCCACTCCGCCAACCTCTGGAGTTTAAACTAATAGAGAAAAGCAGAGCCATAAAGGGGCTACCTATTATTGTCCCAGTCATCTCTAAACCCGTGACTGTAGCAAATATCCGAGCGTTATGGTCTTTGTTAACAAATGAGATCATAAGCCTTGCAAAGCTGGTTCGAAGCCCTGCCCTACTGCTATAATTAGGATACCGAAGGATATTATCCGTCGTGATAGATGCTAAATGGCTACTAAGTACTCCTACCTATGACTGGAATCAGAGTACTGCATGCTTCTGCAATGAATAGGTACCATAGCGTTAGAATTACTAGGCTTGCTCTGATAATCCTAATATGTAATTGCTGTGGTAGGACCCTTATTGACCTTAAGAAGGTTGGATGTTGATTTTGGGAGCGCCAACGAGGTGGTGAGGAATGATCTGCCGGATCTCATGACCAAAAGCCAAGCAGTCTCGCTGAGCTCTGAATCAAGCACTTTTGAAATGTGCTGAGTGATGAAAGTGGTGCTGGAGAGCGCTATTGCTCTCAAGAAGAAAAACATAAAACACATCAATACAACACTCTTCCGATGCACCAACACCAGCCTTTAGATGTTAGATGTCTCAGAGATATTTCAGTTTCCGCATCGAAAACTGAGGCAGATATGGTGGCCTGGGCTGTCGTCAGCCTGCGTCTGGACGTTTGAACAGGCCCCTATGAAACACCTATCTGAAGGTCTCTGGTATTCCTTAGTTCTTTCTGTAACTGGGCGAGTTGCGTTTTCCTTTTATTAAATCCCCCGAGCATATCCCTTTATTTTGATCCAGTCCATATTCTAATTTAATATCTAGGGCAGGTACGGTTCGCTGTCCGATGTGCACGTTGGTGCCAGGCAAGGATTGGCAGTGGCGTAGGACCTGGGAAAGAGCGCCAAGGAAGGCGAAGCAAACCTACGAGGGCCGATGCGATCGCAATGAGTCGAAATAAAGAAGAAACAGTGTTGGATAACTCCCTCTTTTACCGTGTCGTGGATGTTAGAGGTTGAATTAAATGAGAGCAGTATCGACTGCTTGGCATGTTATACCATTACAAACGTCACGTAGTATTCATTTGCTGTCCCGAGAGTCATGAAATATTACGTTCTAAACGAGAAGCTAGTGTTCCCATATTTTCTTATAGTATCTCTAGGCCCCGCTCCCTGCGATTCTCTTTAAGTTTGTGTACAGATGCACCCAATCATTACTCCTTCTACCTAAATAGTCTCTGCGGGTATATGTCTAACTAAGCAATGGCTCTTAGCCCACTGATATTTGCATTCCGACTTAATCTTCCTGGCGAATAAAGAGTGAGTAGTCTCCTAGATTTCGCGTAATTACCTAGGTATTTGGGGTCCGAAGTTTACCTGAGGTTGCCAAAGTAAGTGTCAGAGCGGGAAAATCAATTGTTGAGTAGTTTTTGGAAATGTGCCCAAAAAGCGATGTTAGCCGAGGTGCCATGAGTGATAGAAAGGAGATCAGAGAAGGTTCAGGCACTCTCCCGACTTCTGTAATTGGACTTCGCGATTTCCACTTAGCTAGGGTCATATCTTGGCCGATCGTATACGAAGTACCCAAATGGCCAAGTCTGACATGCTGTTGGTCTTGATTTAGAACAGCCTGGTGCAAGAAACAAGTTGTGAGTAGCATGCATTCATCTACGCCGTGTTATTGCATACTATGGAACATAACCAGCTCAGATTTGATTGACCAACCCTCTTGTTAGATAGAAGGAAGAGATTGAGACGACAGAGTACTCCTGCAAATGGGATCCTTCGAAAGTTCCATGGAAGAGTGATGCTGGATGCGCTGCTATTCGTGTAGCTCGGTAATAAAATTGCCAATTAATATTACAAATTACATCACCCCATTAGGATCCGTCTTCAATGAGCCGCTCGATTCTCCTTCAGTATCCTGTCTATTACAAGATCGTGTTTATTAATAAGTAGCTTTCTTGGTAGTAGTTACCGTTGCGGTAATTGTCTTGGTAACTCTATAAAGAAGATTAGTTGACCCTCGAGAACATGTATTAGTCGAGGGAGGCCTTACGGGATAGTCTTTGTCTGGCTAACGGTAGAAGTAGCTGTCTTGGTGAAAATTGAGGTGGTTTTTGCGACAGAAGTAGAGGTGATAGTCTTAGTGATTGAGGCCGTGACAGTTGCGCTCACAGTAGTGGGGACTGTAATGGTGGAGCTCACCGTGCTAGTAAGCGTCTCAGTGTACGGGATCGTCGTGGTTGAAGACACGGTCTGGGTGGAGGGAATTGTAGTAGTGGAGGAGATTGTTTCGGTGTATGGAATAGTGGTAGTCGATGTTTCAGTCGTGCTGAAAGTTGACGTAGAAGACAACGTCTCCGTATACGGCACAGTGGTGGTTACTGTTTGAGTCGTGCTGACAGTTGAAGTAGATGAGAATGTTTCAGTGTACGGTACAGTGGTGGTGGAAGTTTCAGTTGTGCTAATTGTTGAAGTGGAAGATATTGTTTCCGTGTATGGAACCGTAGTGGTGGATGTTTCCGTAGTGCTAATAGTTAGCGTGGACGAGAATGTTTCAGTCGTACTGAGAGTGGAAGTAGAAGAGAATGTCTCGGTGTAGGGAACCGTAGTAGTTGATGTTTCTGTAGTGCTAACCGTATTGCTGATTGTTGAAGTCGACGACACAGTCTCGGTGTACGGAATCGTGCTTGTGGACAGCACAGTTTCAGTGTGTGGAATCGTGGTAGTCGACGAGATGATTTCAGTGTACGGCACCGTAGAGGTTGAAAGGACCGTTTGGGTGCTACTAATTGGGATTGTCGAAGTCGACAGGACAATTTGAGTGCTGCTAATGGTAATAGTCTTCGTGTCAGTGACGGTAGCATGGGCCTTGTGTCCTTCGCCATTCTGCGTGAGGGTTGAGGTGGTCGTGCGGGTAACAGTATGGGTAATAGTCTGAGTGACACCGGGAGGAACAGGAAAACGCTTCCCCAGTTCCTCTCGTGGCTTCTGGTTCCATGGCATTGCCAACGATTGGGCGGCCCAAATGCCAAAAAGGAAAGTAGTGTACATCATATTGAGCGTATGAATGAGTGGCTGAAATGGTTGTCTGAAACGATTGACGGGCGGAAAGTGCTGGACTACGCCGAAAGAACGAGTGGACGGCAAAGAGAGAGTGGACTGCTGAGCTAGGAAATCAAGAGAAAGAAGAGAGCGGAGTTGTCTATTATGAGTGTCAAGTCTTTTTACCCAGCCTACCGTTCTTCTTTCCATAGGCTCCAGAAATGGAAGCTGCCCACCGGCCGTCAGCCATCGACCGTATTGGCATTCGCTTCCTTGTCGCTTTCTATAACCTGTTCCTCGAAAATCGAATTCTAAATTCGCCCAGAGGAGCAAAAAGCATGGGGTACACGATGTGACATGGGGAGGTATTAATCTCTGGAACGAGATTAAGCGAATATTGGGATTGGGTGACCTGTCATGTTTAAGGCATTGCGATGCGGAGCCGAAAAAAAGAAGTAGAAAGGGGGATAATAATCGAATGCGGGAATTGACAATGGAATGGGATGCATTGAGGCTTGCGTTTGAAGCTCCGTCACCAAGGAATTGATACTGCGTGGTGTTATGAAGCGCTCAAGTTCCGAGGAGAGCGTTGATGTTTATGCTAAGCTTGGTCTGGGTCAAACGGTGAATGGCACGTGCCGATAACGATAACGATAACGACACGCACTTGCATCTCCTCAAAGGTCGCTTCCACCCCACTAGCTTTTAGCATGTTTCATTTCGAGAGCAACTATGGCACTATTACAAGAGTGGACGCATTCCAAGGGGAATAAATCGCCAAAGACTTCTTCGACATCAATCTTTCCAGAAGCAGGCCACTATCCGCCGTAAGCCAAACGCCGAAGCTGCGCTGCAAGAAGCTACCGGTAGCTGCTTCTCAGCCTCCTGCCATCAACAGAGTTAAGTGAAACAGCAAGTCACCCACCTGACCTTGCCTGTTGAAACCCGGCTTCAAATGTATGACCAACTTCTTGTAAGTCGATTTGATCGGACGCAAAACCCTTTGTGGGCAGTTGGAAACAACTAGCGCTTCTAGTAAGAACCTAGTACTGTACGGTTAGGGCGATTTTAAGGCTTGCACGAGTGAGATTTTGTGTATGTATAGTAGCTATTCGTTACAGCTTTTATTATCTATATAAGTAGTTTAATTTAAATAATGTACATTAAACTCTAAACAAAATAGTTAGTAGTATAAGTTTCTAAAGATATAAAATTAAAGTCTAATTAGCTATAAAATAACTAATAACTACTTTTTATTATAAAAGTAAAGAGGTTTAAAAGCTTACTACTTACTACTTTATATTATAGCTAGTTTTTTTAATGTTAAATATAATTATTTATAACGTACTTCACAGGCAAGTTGCTTACACACCTAAGTTGCTTACTTTTGCTAAGACCCCACTAAACTACTCTTTCTACACTAATGCATTCCCCATAACACTACTTAGACGCGCTAAAAGAATGTTAGATATAGCTTACACTCTAAGCTTTTAAATAAAACATAAAACTCTTAAAAAAATGTGCTATAGCTATATATAAGGTTTTATAAAAGATAATAAATAACTATAGCACTAGATAACTTTTATAAGCTAATTCTACAGCTAAATTATAAAGGCTAGGCAATAAAAAGGAGCAGGTAATTATTAAGACTATACTTAAGCTATATGCGTAAGGAATTTCCCTTTAAATAGCATTTATAGCTAATATAGCTAATTCTTTGCACGCTAAGCGTAATCTAGGCTATGTTTATATAAACTAGCCTAGTATATTTATAAAGCATTATTTAAAGCTTAAAGTAAAGTTTTAAGCGCAAGTATAGTTAAAAGATATTTAGCTAATTATAAACCCTATTTTACTAAAGTTATACATGTTATTATTCTAGATGCTATACTTAGCTTTAATATTCTTTATAAGGCTAAACCTGCCCTAAATTACCTTAGGACTCTTGTAAAGAGCTTTTTTATAGTTATACTTACGCTTAAATGTTACTTTAAGCTCTAAATAACACTTTATAAACGTACTAGGCTAGTTTATGTAAACATAGCCTAGATTACGCTTAGCGCGCAAAGAATTAGCTATATTAGCTATAAATGCTATCTAAGGGGAAATTCCTTGCGCATATAGCTTAAGTATAGTCTTAATAATTACCTGCTTTTTTTTATTGCCTAGCTTTTATAATTTAGCTATAGAATTAGCTTATAAAAGTTATCTAGCGCTATAGTTATTTATTATTTTTTTTATAAGACTTTGCATATAGCTACAGTATATTTCTTTAAAAGTTTTATATTTTATTTAAAAGCTTAGAGTGTAAGCTGTATCTAATGTTCTTTTAGCGCGTTTAAGTAGTGTTGTGGGGAATGCATTAGTGTAGAAAGAGTAGTTTAGTAGGGTCTTAGCAAAAGTAAGCAACTCAGGTGTGTGAGTAACTTGCCTGTGAAGTACGTTAATACTTTTTAGTAAAACTAAATTGTAATAACTTAGCAAAGCTTATAATTACCTAATAATAGTGTTAAAATAGTAAAGAAAAAGAACTATATTTTACACTACAATATTTAAATAGCTTAACGCTACTTGCAACACAATTAATATATACTTTAGTTTATTGTAATTTGCTACAAATTTTCTCTATTCCCTCTCTAACATCGCTAGCTAATCTCTAGCTAATATCTTTAAACACTAGCCTATTATATAAATTCTTAGTTACTATACAACTAGCTATAATAAAGCACCTCTTACAACTAGTAGCTAAGATAGTAAGAAAATTAAAAGTAATTTTAAAAAGAATAAAATAAAATATTTTATCTCTAGCAATTAACTAAAATACTATACAAAAAACTATTCTACTATAGTATATAAAATAACTTCTATAACAAGCCTACTACGTATCTAGCAGCTGTTTATATATACTATAGTAGCTATACACTAATAGAAAAAAGTTTCTTTATTAATATTAACTTTATACTCTTTTAATAGATGCTAAATAATATAGTTATAGCTATCTTCTAGCTTTACAAGGCTTTAAAAGCTTTAATTATAACACTAATAGTAAAGCGAAAGTAGATTGCTTTACTTTACTTTTTTTAAAAGAGTTAAATATACACTATTAGCTTACACTTTTAATAATATATTATTATTATCTAGTTATTAAGTTAGATAGCTTATTTTAACTTTTCTTAGCATGTATATTACTATCTATAAAGGCTACTTTAGCTTTAGAGTAATTTATTTTACTAATTATTTTATTATATAAACCTTATTATCTCTTTCTACTACTTTAATGTTAACATGTTTTATAAGCGAGTAGACTACTTAAGTAAGTAGGCTAGCAAACTCTACTAAAACGCCTATGCTGTAATTTAGCGCAACATTATAATAATTATTTATACTATATACAGTAGTATACAATTTTTAGATGTGTTACTATAATCTAAGTTATCTATTTTTAATATATAAGTGTAGGTATTATTGTTAGATATGCGCACCTACTGTTAAGACAGGAGGAACGCTGGACGAAAGCTGCTACATAGTACGAGCAATAAGCTCGAACAGTATGTTGCTGCAAATTGCAGCATTTTGCAACAAATTGCAGCATGTTGCAGCAAATTGCAGCATGTTGCAGCATTTTGCAATATTCTGCAACAAATTGCAGCATGTTGCAGCATTTTGCAACAAATTGCAGCATGTTGCAGCGTTTTGCAACAAATTGCAGCATGTTGCAGCATTCTGCAACAAATTGCAGCATGTTGCAAGCTGGTCGCGCATAGGGCTAGTGTGCGAGGGACTCGGACCGGAAAAACAAAAGCCGAGCAACACGAGCAGAGCAGAGAAAGGATCGATAAATCAATACAATCAATCATCATCCCATACATCATATCCAAAACCCATCATTCATCTCAGGAAGCCCAGAAACAGTGCTTCAATCTGACATTATAAAGCAAGCGTTAGAAAGACTAGATTACATTAACTATAAATTATAGAAGTAGTAATTTATATTAACTATATACTTAAGATCTCTTAGCGTGCTTTATAGTTTCTTACTAAGATAAAGCATCTCTGTTTTAGTGTGCTAAGATAGATTAGGTATCTATGTTATAATAGACCTTATAGCTAAGGTCTTCTTCCTGTTCTTCTACTGGTTCGCTTAGTTCCTCGGGTCCTAGCCAATTGAGGAGCTCTGCTACTTCCAGTGTATTGCTATTCGTAACATATAAATTGTACAAGTTGTTCTTTTTACTCTCCTGTAGTAGGGAATAAAATATGAAAAATACTATAGCTAACGTTATGAAATAAGAATTAAATTTTAGGTTAATATATAAATATAGATTTCCAAGGTCTCTCTTAAACTCAGGGGGCTATAGAAAATAAGAAGAGAAACACAACAATATCCCTCGCCTCACTCTAATATGGGGAAGTACTGACTACAAGAAAGCATTTTATACATGTCCTCAGAAAGATTTGCAAGAGGTATGAAAACCTTCCACTAAGGTATAAAGCCATCAGGAAGTGTACAGAAAGGTATAAGAAATCAGAAACACGATTGCTAGAACAAGGTTGTATGCTGAAGCTATAATCCAACAACCTGAGGTTGACTATGCACCCGCGCTTGATAACCATCCTAATCCGCCCCCAAAGACATACCAATTTGGGATGAATACGATTGGTGAGCGCAGAAAAAGCTAATGATTTCAAGCAGGAGAGGGAAGAATAATGGCATCGCAAGAGATTCATTAGAGGAGGAATCATTTCCATAGCCTGGCAGGATCTAGCGATCATTTTGTTTTTCTCTAAAATACTGCCTGTGATTATAAGTGGGGCGGAAGATTAAAAGGCGCAGCGGCGCTCCTGAGATAAGCGACGTGCTGCAGACCCACCTCGACCCGCGAAGGGATAAAAGTAAACACGGTCGCTTAACCTAAAAGTAGCGAGAACGCGTCGTTTGGGAGGAACAATCAGGGGATTTGGGTGAAGTGAATGAGCAGAATTAACTAAGATGAAGAGAAGATAATATCGGCATCAGCGAGCGTCTCTTCAATTAGCTAAAATAAGAAGATTTGCAAATTGAACAGCATAAATAGCTCTGCCCATCTGATTACAATTACAAGGCGCTAACACCGAAACCCGGATCGACGCATATTACCTGAGGTTTCTCTCATACCTATCCCCCTACTTATCTCGCTAACTCCAAAACCAGGCTTCTCAATTCTCCTAGGCCTTCGTCACCGTTTTCGTCACCGTCGACGTTTGGTATTTTGTGGCTCTATAAGAAAAGCAGTAAAGGTTAGCCAGTGTCTGAAAAAGCAATCAGGCATAGTCCAGGATCTAAACTTACGAGATCGTTGCGGTGATAATGCTCGTTGCCTTGATCGTTTGAGTAGCTGTCTTCGTAACCATCGTCGTGCTGCGGATCACTGTTGTGATTGTACCAGTAACTGTTGTAGAGATGGTGGAGGTAGAAGGCACCGTCTGGGTGGACTTTTCCACGCGAGTTTCGGTAGTAGGGATTGTTGAAGTAGAGAATACGGTTGAAGTGGTGGTCTCTGAGTGAGTTTCTGTAGTGGGGATTGTTGAAGTAGAGAATACGGTTGAAGTGGCGGTCTCTGAGTGAGTTTCGGTGGTGGGAATAGTTGAAGTATAGAATACCGTCGAAGTTGAAGTCTCTGAATGTGTTTCAGTGAGGGGAATTGTCGAGGTGGAAGACACAGTTGAGGTAGTGGTCTCTGAATGTGTTTCAGTGAGGGGAATTGTCGAGGTGGAAAACACAGTTGAGGTAGTGGTCTCTGAATGTGTTTCAGTCAGAGGGATGGTTGAAGTGGACGAGACTATTGAGGTAGTGGTCTCGGAATGGGTTTCAGTCAATGGGATTGTTGAAGTAGAAAATACTGTTGAGGTAGTGGTCTCTGAATGGGTTTCAGTAAGGGGGATGGTTGAGGTTGAAGATACGATTGAGGTTGTGGTCTCTGAATGTGTTTCAGTGATGGGTATTGTCGTGAAAATTGTTGATATGGAGGAGACGGTGGAAGTGTACGTCTCTGAATGTGTCTCTGTTGTTGGAATGATTGAAGTTGAAGAGACCGTTGCGGTGGCAGTTTCCGTCCTGGAGATTGTACTGTACGCAGTAGAGGTAATCGGTATCGTGGTCGTCGTGAACACGGTCGAGGTGGAAGTTGTACGTCCGACTGAAGTCGATGTTATAACGGAAGTGGTAGTGGTTGCAATTATCGTAGGAACCGTTGTCAACACAGTTGAAGTGGAAATGGTACGGGCAACCGCAGTTGATGTTACGACGGAAGTCGAAGTACACACAGCACGCTTTACAAGTCTGGCGGGTTCGCGATCATCAGGATCTTGACTCCAAGGCATTGCAAGGGACTGGGTAGCCCAAAGGCCGAAAAGGAGTGTAGAGAACTTCATGCTAGTTTTGTGAAATGAGTGACTGAACGACCAGGGTAAAAGTAGAGAGTGAGTGAGTTAATTGAGAAATTGAAGGGAAACTCATCTTCGAAGGCGGTGGTGCCTCTTTCTACCTTTTTGCTATCCAATCTCATCGTGCTGGGCACAAATAGACTATTCGGTAACCCTAACGCCATAGTCGCTTCACAAAAGCTGCTGTTCTTTTGCAGTATGATGAGTCTCCCAAAAGGAAACAAAGAGAACGGCATTCATGAGGTGCCGAAAGCAGATGGTGGAAGCGGGAGATTGGCCGATGTCTTGGTGCTCTCGGTTAGGAACCAATCATAGCCGAACTGTTTCAAACCGAGTACCGTATTTTATCAGCTGACGCTCGGCCCCACCTAACGCACACCCCACCACTGTCACGATTGTGCACGAGTAAGGTTATAGAGCTTCACAGAGGTCTAGTTTAATTACTACGTAAGGTATTATAGTAAGTATAAGACGTTGTGTAAGAAATAAGAAGGTTTAAAAAGAAATTAGTAATTAAATACTTAGCTTAAAAGTCTAAGCACTTTAAGTATAAATTAAGCTTATTTTAGGTTTAGTTAGTGTTAAGGCAGTTTATACTTAAGTTTATATCTATGTTATGTTATGTTTATGTTAGACGTGCACTAATAATACTTTAGTACATGTCTAATATAGTTATGTCTAGGATCTAGAGAGAATACTATAATAGTACCCCCCTTCTTATTAAAAAAGAAATTTTTTATATTAGTAGTTCTAGCATTAAGTTATCTTTATTAGAGTATAAGTTTAGTTTAGATAAGTATTAAGCATAAAATTAGGTTACTATAAAGTTCTTTTATAAAGCTTCTGCAGGTTTCTATAACAGTTTATTATATTTAGTCTATTTTATAAAGTATTTATAGATATGTTTTTTTTATTAAACTAGATCTATTTAATATCTTTTATAATGTATTCTAGTTTATTATTTATAATAATAAGTTTAGGTAGTAAGTTTAGCTATCTAAGTAAATAGTTAGATTTAAAAGCTACTTAGCGCAGTAATAATACATAAAACATAGAGTGTATCTTTATGCTATTAAGTAGGATTAATTAGTAAGCATGTAATAAAACTATATAAGCTACTATAAAAAAGCTAAAGTTTTTTTAATTAAGTTTTTTTAATTAAGTTTTTTTAATTATTAGTTTATTTAAATATTTCTAGTGTCTAGCTAGACCTTTTTGCTAGCTATATATATAAAGGCAAAGGTTTAAAATTAGTTTATATACTTTTATTAAAAAGCTTAAGCTTATGTAAGCTTTTTATAAATGTATTTAAATATATTTTAAATTTTATTAATAAGTTTATTTACATTTATTACTTATATAAATTAATAAGTTAGTTAGAGGTATTTAAAAGTAGTTTAAATCTTATTTAAAAGTAGTATTTATAGTTTACTTAAAATAAGGATACTTATGTTAATTTAGATGTTATGTTATTAGCTTTAAACTATGCTATAGCTAACTATTTTACTTAGTTATCTTACTAGTAGTTTATGTACACTTATAGAACTTATTTTATTATAGTATTTATATTCTTAGTCTAGCTATTAGTCTCTAAGTAAAAAGCTATAGATAGATAAAGGATAATTTAGAGCTATTTATAAAGTTTGTTCTAAAAGGCTAAGACAAACTGTGTACCTCTATCTAATATAATTATATTAGGTAGGCTATAGTAAACTTATATGTATTAGTAGAATAACTAGGCTATATTAAAGGCAGTTATAAAAGAATATAGTATTAAGTGTTAATACTTAGTTAAGTAATTAATAACTACTATAATATTTATATACCTTTTAGATAAAAGTAAGTCTATAATAAAATTAATTAATATGTCTTTTTAAGCTTATTTAGAAATTAGAAGTAGTTTAAGTAAGCTATTATACTTTTTTTAAAAAGCTTTTACTTTATAGTAAGTATAGCAACATAATACATATTAGCGTATAGTATAGAACATGCAGGGCTAGTAGTACTCTCTTTATAGTAGGTTAAGAGTCTTTCCTTTACCTAAGTGTTTTTTAATAAGTAAGTTATGTATAATTTAAAGTAGTTTAATTCTTAGTTTATTAAAATTAAAAATTATAAGTTAGTTATAGTAATATAGCTTACTATTTTAGTTTTTATAGTTAGCTAGTGTTACTTTTTTTAACTAACTAGTGCTGTTTTAGAGTAAGTTTAAAGTTTCTTAAATAAATTTATTATTTAAATACTTATTAGTAATAATTTAATTAATTATTTAATTTATTTTATTTAAGTTAAGGTCTAAAAATAGCTTAAGTTAAAGTAAAGTTTAGTATTAAGCTTTTTATACTTCTTTTTAAGTAAAGACATTTTAGGATTACTTTATAAAAGCATTTAGTTTCCTTTTATTTTAACTAAAATAATAAGTAATCTTAAAATTAAAATAAAATAGGTATTTAAACTAATAAGCTTATTAGTAGCTAAGTTATTTTATAGTTATAAAGTACTATAAGTTCTTATAGTTAGATAGAACCTGTAACGGCGCAGGCAAGACAATGGGTCCGAATGCGGTATGAATCCACTTAGAGGCATATGGGAGTGTGTGGGGACTTAGAGACCTGGGAATACTAATGACACCTATAGGCCTTGTACGTAGGATATTAGAAAACTACTAAGCTAGCTACAGGGGCAAAGTGCAACTAAATACATAAGGGAATAGGGGTAACAGCAGGGGGCTAGGCAGAGTTGAGTCAGGGTCGAGCCAGGGTCGGAGCCGATACGGAGACCCTTCGGATAGGTTCTGGGGCGACCTGAGATGGAACAATTTATGAGAATTGTTACACTACCCCCCCCTCTATAGACTAATAGTCCCTATTAGTAGTAGTTATAGTACAAAGTATTACTGTTATATCCTTTACATCCTTAAAACAAAACTAGTCTAATTTAGCTAAGTGTTCTTACTAAGTATTTCTTTACACTACTAGCAGTGTTCTTAGAGTTGTAATACTTTTATGTATAACTATAAATTTACTCCTTACTTCTATACCTTATTGTCTGCTAAGTAATTTATGCCTTCTATACTAGCTTTAAAAGCCTTAATCTACTTATATAAGGCCCTTAGAGGTCCTAGCTAATTTAGATGCTTATTATAAAAGGCCTTTAGTTTATAGGGAGAACCTATAAAATTTAAAGCCTTGTACTAAACTAGATTAAAGTTATGTTCTACTTATTTTACCTAGTACTTAAGCGTTTTCTAGTAAAGCTTACTAGTAAGTATTTCCTTTACTTCCTACTCCTCTACTCTATTAATAGTAATTCTAGGGGGTTTTAGAGGTTCTTGTTCTAGAAGTAGATTCTAAGAGTCTTTACAAAGCATGTTTAGTGCAAAAACATTATGTATTTTTAACCCTAAAGGTAGCTTTAGGCAGTATAAGTTACTAACTTGCTTAAGTACCTTAAAAGGACTTTTTTATTAATTAAATAGTTTTTAGCTAGGTCTCTAGACAGCTAGGTTCTCTATGCTTAGGTAGACTATGTTGCTAACCTTCTAGTTAACTAGCTAGCAGTAGCAGTTAACTATAGTTTACATCTAATCCTAGGCCTTTTCTATATAGGTCTTTGCTAGCTCCTAGGCTGCGTGCATGTAGGTTGCTAATGCTAGGGCATTCTTCTAATTTAACTTATCTATAGCTGTAATAGAATCTGTAGAATGTTTCTAGTCCTAGCTTTAACATAGTTTAGAGCTGTATAAAACTTAATATAAAAACATTTTAATTATTACATAAAGTAAGGTTATCTAAGCCTAATTAATTAGGGGTAGTAAGAAACTCTAGTTATCTTAGTAAAAAAATATAAAAAGCCTTAGTCTTTAATTAATATACTTATTTATAATCTCTATTTAGCTATCTGTTTCCTTATAATAAGTAGTAAAGAGCTTAACTTTTATGCCTAAAATTTAATAGAATTTAGACTAGAAACTAGATATAAACTAAGGTCCTTAATTAAAAATAATAGTTTTAGGTGTGTAGCTAAAATAGTACACCTATTAAATAAATAAAGTAGCTATTTCCTAGGCGTTAATTATTTTATAGTAGGAGATAGAAATAGCTTATTTAGACAGGTAATTAATTATAACTATAATCTAATTATATCTAGACTTGTCTTTAAGAAACTCCTTAAAGTTAATGCATAGGTGCTGCATTAGTTAAGTAAGAATTAGTAGGGGGTAGATAAAGCTTAGAGTTTAAGTCTATTTTAAATAAGCCTTATAACAGGGAAGGTAATTCTGTACATATTATTTATAAGTAGCCTTTATACCCTTCTAGTAGTACTTTTAGGCTAGTAACTAATAGGTCTTAGTAGCACTTAGGTGTGCTAAGGATACTTAGTTATAAACTTTTTAGATAAGTTAAGTACACAGCAACAAGTCTGCTAGCACACACAAGCAGTTAGCATAAAGAAGTAGTCTGTTTTCTATCTAATAATAGTAAAGTAAGAGTTTTTGCTTTTGCGTAAAAAAGGCTTAATTCTTTTAAAGTAATATATTAATTAATTTTAGAGAATCTAGAGACATAACCTAGTCTAGTCTTTTTATAACATTTAGTGTAGCTGCTTAAGTTGTTGTTTAAGTAATATAGTACTAGGCTAGTTTAGAGTTAATTTAGAGGTGCAGTTAGTGTAGTTCTAGTAAGACTTTTAACTTATTATTAGTTTAAGCTACTCTTAAATTTTCTATGTCTTGTTTGCAATAACTAAGAATGTCTGCCCTAGTGTTGTTTTTACTAAAGGTGTACTTAATTTAGAAGTAATACTAAGCTAACTTTTTAGCCTAACAGACCTAATAAGCATTTAGCACTTTTATTATTATAAAGTACTCTAATAAATAATAATTAGTATATACTAGAGTGCTTATTACTATAAATATAAGCTTAGCCTTTTATTATTTAAATGCAGTAATAATTGCAAATAGCTTCTTATTATGTATCTTCTAGTTTAGCTCTAA